AACAGAGATAATGAAAACTTGCTCTGCTTGCATTCTATATATTTTATTTTATATATTTTTTTTTTTTTTTGACAGGCAGAGTGGACAGTGAGAGAGACAGAGAAAAAGGTCTTCCTTTGCCGTTGGTTCATCCTCCAATGGCCGCCGCGGCCGGCGCGCTGCGGCCGGCGCACCGCGCTGATCCAATGGCAGGAGCCAGGAGCCAGGAGCCAGGTGCTTTTCCTGGTCTCCCATGGGGTGCAGGGCCCAAGCACCTGGGCCATCCTCCACTGCACTCCCTGGCCACAGCAGAGGGCTGGCCTGGAAGAGGGGCAACCGGGACAGAATCCGGTGCCCCGACCAGGACTAGAACCCGGTGTGCCGGCGCCGCTAGGCGGAGGATTAGCCTAGTGAGCCGCGGCGCCGGCCCGCATTCTATATATTTTAAATCACATTGCTATTTTCTCTTTTCCAAATTAATTACTTTTTCCATTGGGTCACAATTGTAGGAAAATTGTACTGCCCAGGTGGAGGAGGATACTGAAAGATGTTGTATGTTCAGCTGATGATTCATTTCACCAGCTGCCAGAAAGTTGCATGTTGCAGCACACCTGGACACAGGCTCCCGTGACTGATTGCAAAACACATTTATCTTGGCACATCACAAAGGAGATGTAATCATAATTATTCTCTCTTGTAGTTAAATGTATTTTGGGGCTGTGTCTACCTACAGAATAATACAAATTGTACATCTGAAATAGAGCCACAGAATTTTAGGATCTTCATATTCAGTCCTTAATATTTCCCAAAGCCTTTTCTGTGTTTAAAAAATAAAATTCAGTTCTGAATAACTTAGGATGATGGTAAATTACAAGGAATGCCATTTGAAAAATTAAGACATTGATGAAATTGCTCAAAACCCTAACTTTTCTTTGGTTTAAAAATATATAATATATATTTATATATATATAAATACATAATAATAACATTAATTTTTACATGAAGGAGATTCTTTGTTTTTTTGCATACTTTAATTTTGAGGAGATAAATGTGTTGGCTAGGTTTTACACAGTATCCTCCATGGAAGAATTGAATATTTGAATATCTAGAATAGAAGAACACAGATTCATCAGCAATGTCTTTCTTCCCTAAAGACTAAGTAGTTACTCATGCTGTTGATCTTAAAAGTCTAGAAATTCTTAATCTCTCCTGAAAACTTCTTTAATAATATGTGAAATTCAAATTACTCCAGATATATTTAATGAAGTAGACAGGTTCATGATTTCCAGAAACTGAAAATATTTCATCCAGTATAACCAGTGATAATCTTTAAGTAAGATTAAATTTGATTATAAAACTCTTCTACTTGATGTTTTCCCTTTAAAATTAAACTGTTTTCTCTAAATAATAAAAAAACTTTAATGAAGGGCCAGTACTGTGGCATAGCAGGAAAAGCCAGTGTCACATCCCATATGGGCCCTAGTTCAAGTCCTGGCTGCTCCACTTGTGATCCAGCTCCCTGCTAATGCACGTGGGAAAGCAGCAGAAGATAGTTCAAGTGCTTAGGCCCGTGCACCCACATGGCAGACTGGGAAGAAACCCCTGGCTCCAGGCTTTGAATCAGCCCAGTTCAGGATGTTGTGGTCATTTGAGGAGTGAACCAGTAATTAGAAGATCTCTCTATCTTTCCCTTTCTCTCTGAGACTCTACCTTTCAAATAAATAAATAAATATATCTTAAAAATAAGACTTCAGTAAAATCTATACAAGAATAAGAGAGTTCACAAAATGAATATTAACTTCAGTATTGAAAGTTTTGTAGAGTAGATTTCAGTACGATGTGGAATAGATGTTCATATTTTTTCAAAAGTACTGAAAAAAGATAGTTGCTTGGAAAATTGAAACCTAGAAAATACTATCATGTAAATAAAATTTTACTTTGGTCTAGAGTAAGGAGTTAATATTAGTGGTAACAGTAACCCCACACTTATGTAGAAATTAAAAAGCAACAATCATGAATCTAAGTATTTTATACATATTAATTCATCAACAAAACCTAGTGAGGTATATATTGCAATTATTATTCATTTCATTTTTTGAGACAAGAATTTTTTTTTAAATTGTATTTAAGATATACAAATTTCATGTGTTTTCTTTATATAGATTCAGGAACATAATGATACTGCCTACCCTTCCCTCCCTCCCACCCATGATCCCACCCTTCTTTCTCCTCCCTCTCCTATTCCCAATCTTAATTTTTACAAAGATCTATTTGCAGTTAAATTTATACTCATTCATAAGATTAACTCTACACTAAGTAAAGAGTTCAACAAATAGTATGAAAAAAAAAACTTTTCCTCAACAGTCCCTACTTTAAGCAATCATCCAATGCTGTAAGCAATCATCCAATGCTGTAAACAATCATCCAATGTCAAAATGTCAATTTCACTTCTATATATTACTTTTTAGGCACTTTATTAGTTACCAAAGATCAGGGAAACATGGTATTTGTCTTTTGGAGACTGGCATATTTCCCTAAGTATAATGGTTTCCACTTGCATCCATTTTGCTGCAAAAGATAGGATTTATTTATTTTTTTAACCACTGTGTAGAATTCCATAGTGTATATTTTCCATAATTTATTTACAACAGGTAAAAAACACTGAGTCAATCCGTCAACATCATGGCTGCTCAGTATTTTTCTACCCTAAATCATGGACCATATCAGTATGCAAAACCAAGGCTCTTAAATTGGGAAGGACAGAGAGGCAAGTAAGAGAATCTCACTGCATTGTACTCAGGTGGAATACACCAGAAATTCAACTTGGGCTTTAATGGTATTAACAGTTTAAAAATGTTTAATATATGAATATCCAATAATATTGCACATGTAGCAAACAAAAACTGTGCTTAAACTGTTAACAATATTAAAAGAGGATGTTTATATCTATGCTACTGCTGTAACATATAATAAATTATAATAAATGTTACACTATGTCATATCCACAAACATACAATTTTTTGACATTTTTTTCACAAGAAACATACTCACTAGATTTTAGTAACTGGTTTCTTTAAAATATTTGAGACTTAAGTTAGTTATAAACTACAGTAATTTCTTTCACATAGTGGAAATTAAATAAATATTTTGTGTAAAATATGATAAGCCCTGTCTTCAATCCATGTTGCCACTTCGACACTATTTGAAAAATATATAAAACAGGCCAACCTCTTTATCTCTGTAATCATTGAGCTTAGGGTCATAAGGTAGTTTAACACTGGCAAATAATTTTTTTTTTTTTTTTACTTATTTGACAGGTAGAATTAGACAGTGAGAGAGACAGAGAAAGAAAGGTCTTCCTTCTGATGGTTCACCCCAGAAATGGCCGCCACAGCCAGCGCTGCATCAAACCAAAGCCAGGAGCCAGGTGCTTCTTCCTGGTCTCCCACATGGGCGCAGGTGCCCAATCACCTGGGCCATCCTCCACTGCCTTCCAGGGCCACAACAAAGAGCTGGACTGGAAGAGGAGCAACCAGGACTAGAACCTGGTGCCCATATGGGATGCCGGCGCCGCAGGCGGAGGATTAGCCCAGTGAGCCATGGCGCTGGCCCCCATTTGCAAATAATTTTTAAAAAAATTTAAAACTTACAACATTAGTTTCTGGTAAATATTTGTTCTCTACCCACACTTTGCATTATAAACATGATAATTTGGCTATAAATTGGTCCGAAGTTTGAAGAAAGCAGCTTTTCACATATTATATTACACATCAACTTACCTAACAGTTGAATCAGACACTATGAAGCATCACTTCAACCTCCATTGCTGGGTTGTGTGTTCTAAACCCTGACAATCCTGGTACTTGCCAGATCTAATCAGCTATCTCCCAATACACTTTGTCCCAGAATTTCTTAGTATATTTTAATTTGAATTGTCAACCCTTAGGCATAATCTCTGATGTCCAGACTATTTTATATTGACTCACTTTCTTTTGGCTGTTCATTCTCTGTTGCTCTCTCCTCCTCCTCCTCCTCCTCCTCCTCCTCTCCCTGCTTCCCATCTCTCCCCCAACCTCCAAAACATTTCCTCATTATTTGAAGCTCTATATTATATTATCTACCTAGATATACTTAAACATCTCCTCCTTTCATCTCTGCCAAAGTGGGTAACCAATTGTAGTATTATTAATCGTAATATAATTGTAGTACATTAATTGTAGTATGATCACATTGTTATATTTGTTTATACATTGAACTCATTGACTGGACATGGAAATACTTGAAGACAAACCTTTTTCATCGTGTAAGATGTTCCTAGCATAAGGGTTAGAATACAGAAGATGCTTAATAAAAGTGAGGTGAATTAAATAACTTTAAAGTCTGCTTCACATTTTACTTCTTAATATTTCCATCTTTTGCCTATTTTTATGTTACTTTTCTGTGCAAATAAGATGCTTATTCACAAATAAAAATAAGTTATTTGTCTAAGTTAATTTTAGAAATATATAAATCATCATCAAATCACCAAATTACCAAATTAATATCTAGGAAGAAACATTAAAAAACATAATTCAGGTCCAAAACTTTGCAAGATTCTGTAACAATCTGTGAGTATTTCTAAGCTCTCAGAACTAATTACTCAATAATTACATCAATTCCTTTAGTTCAATAGTTATAAAAAATGATATATGATTAACATTCAACATTTCGAGTCTCAGCTACAGTTGTAGGAGTCTATGTTAAGTTATACATATACATTTATAAAGGATAGTTTACCTAAAATGTAACTATTCTTTTATGCTTCTGGCTATAAGGAAATTTAGTATTAAAGATGGACTATATAATTAAGTTATTTATATTTACTTTATAAAATACCAAATAATTTTATCTGCATAAGACAATAATGATAATAACAAATTCAACCAGCCCACACTGAACTCCTTCTTCAGGTCCACACTTTCAACTATGTAATCGTAAATTTTACTCCACATAAAAATTACCAAGTAAATATGGCTACTTACCTTTCTGGGTTTTCTACTTCTTCAGTAACAAAGTTGAGGTAAAACCTGAAAATAAATAAATTACAAACCATTAATGTATTTTACTATTGTAATACAAAGTTACACATTTTAAATATTTAAAATTAAAATCAGAATTATGAAAACTTCATATAAAAAAACTTTTGATGTGATGAAAACTCCCACCAACGATTTTCATATTAAACCACAATTGTGGGATGCTTCTTATGTGTCAGACATTTGGAGAAATAAGAACAGAAAGTCCATAGACTCTCCACAAGGAGCTCACGGTTTACACAAGGGCCTACAGAATAATGTGATGCAGTACTGGAGCCAGAGGGTAGGTCCGGCACAGCCACGTAGGTCAAGGAAGGTTTTCCTAGAGGCCACATCACCAGCTTCAGCCTTCAAGATTGCTGATCCTCTAGCCCTGGTGATAGTGCAGTGGTGTATTGCTGCCTGGGCCTAGTATATGAGCACAGAACTGTGACAGAGGAGTCATGCCAAGGAATATGAGCAACAGTTTCGAATTCTGCAGGACAGGTGTGGCCAGGAGAGTGGAACAGAACTTAAGTATGAGATGATTTGCAACTCCTGGGAATCTAACTGTTAGTGGTATAGATAAGTCAATCAAAAAGTATGACAAAAGCATTTCTCGTTTTAGGGAACTGTTCATAGCTTCCTAGATATAAACACAGTTACAAACAGGAACCAAAATAATGTAAATAATAATGACTTGTACTTTTCAAAAATTTAGGAAAGTAAATGTTGAATGTTCTCGCCACAAAAAATGTTAAGTATGTGAGGTGATAGATATGTCAGCTAGCTTGATTTAATTATTTCACATTTTATTTATGAATCATCACAGCCCATAAATACATGCAACTATAATTTGTCAACTTAAAATTAAAAATGGAAAATTTTAAAAGATGATAAATTCTCAATTTGCACTTCATCCTTTAAAGACATGGTTTTCCAACGTGTCCCAAATAACCTCAAGTCATAAAATGATGAAGTTATCGTTTCCGTTTTCTTTTTGTATATGCAGCCAGTTGATTTTCAGCATATTGCTACTTGTCACACCATAATTTAGTAACAAAAGCATCAGAAACTTTCAACACGTCCCTAATACAGAACACTTTACTGGAAATTTCATGTGGCTAGGAGCATTCTCGGCTTCAAATTCCATAGTACTGCAAATATCATCCCAATGTCAAAGCCCTAGAAAATTTCAAAATCCTTTATTCTATCTGTGGCTCTACCAGTCCCACCCATGGGTGGGACTACCACCTTGCATCCTTGACTTTGTTCTCCAGATTAACCCCACTGGAGCCCTTTTAAAAGCTCCACGGTTCTCTCCTAAGTTTCCATATGTGAACAATGAGGCAGACTTAATCTTCAAATATATAATTGTGGCTAATCAGTTTATGAGAATGGGAAAACCAAGGGTCACGATTGGCAAGAGCTAAACACATAAAGACAAAGACCTTGCAACCTCTTCATTTCAGTCTTAGGAAATTCTCACATAGTATAAAAGTAAAAATTTCAATATATTTTGTTATTTTTTTAGAAGTCAAAGTTACCCTTTTACATAGATACATAGGAGCATAGGTATAAAGGGACAAAATCTCTACAGTCTAAAACCAAATGGCTGGAATATGAATCTATCAGATCGTAAGACGCTAAAGTATCTCACAATCTGAAACTAAGATAAGGAAACCTGTCTTGCTCCGCTTTCATGAAAACCTCATCTCAATTCACAAGTAGGCAGCAGATGTTCAAGGTGAAGGTGTCTACAATTTTAAGGACTGTGATTTATGCAGAAACATTTGAAAAGCTGAGAGAACAGTAGTAATAAGGGTGACCTAAAACGTTAGCAGCCAAGGAGTTTTTTTAATGACTAGAAAGTTAAGTTTCAAAAAAAAAGAGGTTGTAGTTATACTAAGAAGGCAAACACCAATCAATACTTTATCTGGAATATGCACTCAGAGAAATCTGTTATAAGCCTGAGGCAATGGGAAGTACAGGAAGAAAATGGAAAAAAAACAATCACACGCATTGAGAAACAGGAGGGTGCTTCAAAAAGTTTATGGAAAAAGTAGAATTAAAAGATGTTTATCTAGAAATCACTTCTCGGTCTTTTGGCTAAGGTCAAGTGTAAAGATGTTTATCTGGGTGCAACAATATTAAAATCCAGGCTTTTTTTTTAATCATATGTATTTTTCATGAACTATTTGAAGACTCTGTATCTTTAGGCTTCTCATGTCCAAAATAGCCAGTTTCTTCATAATAATTATTTTAGAAATTGGTCTTTTCCAACAATGTTAAAGCAAGAAAGGAAGTACATGTATGAAAAAACACACAATTTCAAATATTTGCCATAGCTCCAGAGAACAGAGAAAAGGAAAGGGATTGGGGCCGGGTTGGGGACAGGAAGGAGAACGCTTCTTATTTTAGTCCAAATATTCACATCCTGTGGGAAATACACCTTCATGCTCTCCTAGTCTCTAGCAATAAGTCGGTCGTATTCTCTCTGGTTTACATCTCCTCACAGCCTCTAGAGAATGTCCACAAGATCTATTGTTCCAGCTTTTCCATGATTGTGCATAAAAGACACTGCAATGCTGGCAATGCATTCCAATTCCCAACTCTGTGACTTATTTTTAAAAGAAGCTTATTCTTTAGATTAGATTTGACACAATGGTACAAAATAATCCCAGCAGGTGCTTTAGAAGGACAAAATCCATGGAGGATATGATTTAAAAAGGAAGGGAAAAAAAGACACTGAAAAACTATTTTCTATCACACAGTTATAAAAAATAAAAATCACACCAAGCAGCATTTAGCTTTGGATCAGTAGATGGGACTGAAATTGGTTGAGTTCCCCAGGGCCAGAGGGGGAATGGTGTATGGATTTCTCTGAATGCAGACATTGGCAATAATATTAAAGTTGTTCTGACCCAACTCTGTGACCTGGCTTTGTTAATGATTTCTTTTCCCCTAATCATGTTTCTGTGAAGGAGTTTTCATCATTCTAGAAAGGTTCTGTGCTCCTCAGAGCCAAAAGCTTACCCTATTCAGATTCCCCAAGGTTTGCTGGTGTCTTTTTCCAAGGAGTTGAATGGCTCATAGAGCAAGGTCTCCAGGACAACAGTGGTCTTGCTGCTTTTACTTACAGGCTAACAGGCAGGGCAGTAAGTTCTGATGACTGGCTCTGCTTCACTGCTGTCACACTCATTAGCAATGTCTCAACATTATTTTTTTATTTTGTTAAATATTATCCCAGCAGCAGCCCTGGGGATGGAGGTTCACTTAAGTTTCATTTATAGGCCTCCATTAAGTTCTACAATCCTGTCTTTTAATTAGATCATGAAAGAGAGAGCTCAGAAAAGCAGGGAAAACACTAGGAGAGTGAATACATGCTCCTCTCTTTTGGAATGCTTTTAGCTTCCCTCGTTTCATTTACATCCAGATAATAACTTTTGACCTGGAACACCAAACCAACTGACTAGCTTTTCTAAACACAGCTTCCCTTTTCTAAAACTGATGGCCATAGATTAACAACCTATTATTTCTACTTCTTCACAAAGCAGCATTCAGGTAGCACAACGACCTGTTATAGAAGCAGTTACTTATCTGTCCCCTACAAAAGCCAGTTGTATCAGATAACATTCCATTTAAAATCCGGGACTTATTTTCCAATACTGTGATTGAACTCTCAAGAATATAAGGAAATCAATGGTTTCTTGATCTTTAAAATAGGGAGTAGACATGAGGATTATAAGGGTAAAAGTATAAATAAAGGTTCATGTCAACTGCTTTTAGCTTGTAAACAGAATAACATTTTAGGCTGAACAGCAATAAAATTTGCTAATAAGATAATTCAAAATAAGTAGAGTCTTTATGCACCAAGAAATCTATCGGTCCTCAAAAGCCTACAGAAGTGGAGACAATTTGCTCTACTTTAATAAAGCAGGTGACCTGAATATTCAGCGCTGGGTAGAAATATTTTTAAGATTCCATGGGAACAGAAGCATGGTACTTGCAGGCAAAAGAAACTTCATTCAACAGAATTAATCAAATCCCCCTTGTGACTATCTCCACATTCCACATTCCTGATTGAATATTGCTGGGTTCCCAAGGCTTGGCTGCAGCTGAGAGCTTTTGCTATCCCCCAGGCCCCCCGCCCAGACTTTGCTCTACATCTCCCAGTGACCCTTTGGTAGCTTGGCTGCTGCCCCAGGGCATGGAACTCTGATCCCCGCTGAACAGCCACAGAAGAGTTGATTCTGCTTCTCACCCTGTAATCACACTTCGTTCTTTTCTCTGTCCAGCACCACATTGTGCTTTGGACAAAAGTAAAAAGACTTCAAACGCACTGAGTGATTCAAAACTGAGGCTTACACACAATGGCTAACAAAATATTCTGGGAATATATAAACATTTTTCAATCATCTCCTTTGAGCTATGATTTTCTAACCTTCAAACATATTTTGTTTCAAAGCCATGTTAAAATTTTAAGTTCCTACACCCTCGTAAATCTTTTCTGATGCTATATTTTCATAATTCCATAAGATTAATAGGGTACACATTCCACTTATTTTGAAATATATCTTTATGTTCCATGCACTCATTGGAAGGTAAGAGTCTAAAAACTAAAAAAAAAAAAAAAAAAAAAAACCAGGAAATTGCGTTTGTATTGGAAGTATATTTACATAATGTTTGAGCTAGTGCAGTTTCCTGATTTCATGTCTAGGCTCATAGAACATTCTCACACCCCAAACTGTATGACTATTAGTCATATAAGTAATTAAAAAGAAATATTGCTATTATTTACTCCAAAACTGTTAACATTAATCTTACTTCAACTATTTTGATGTTTGAATAAAACTTTTCTAACCAAGAGGCTTTCTTGCAGCAGCCGCTTCCATTAAATCTTATTAGGTATATAAAATAAGTCAGGAAAGGATTATTGCTATTCAAGTATCTGAGTCAAGCAAAGCATAAAAACAAACTTCCAATGCTTTAACCAGAATAGTAGACATCACAGATAGACGTCTACCAAAAGAAATGCAAGCAAAGCTTCACAATTTTAATCATCTTTGCTGCATTTTTGTTTTCAGATGTGGAGGGAATGTTAAGGATCTTTTAAGGATAAGGCCTTTTAAATGCAACAGATTTTCTACTACTACTGATTTTATTATCTCAGCTTCTCTTTCCCTGCCTGGACAGCACCATTTTACCTCCTAAGGCCACTTACTTGTTTGTCAGAATTACTTTCTTTTCTTGGAAAGATCAGTTAATTACCATGTGTCATTTGTCATATGTGTCAGTACTCTTGGAGCTTTAGCTGAAAGGCATGTTGATGAGCAAAGCACTAATGTTTGATACCGCATGACACTATTCTGTCCTTATGGAAACATGCTAAGGGGATTCATACTCACTCTTAAAACCTAGAATTTGCTTGCTTTTTATGACATGCAGCTAAATTGTAGAGTCTTCTTTACTGAGTTGGTTCTCAGAAAACCAGAGAATGGTTTGTTGAACATTTGAAATTAAGGAAATCCAAAAGGGCTATGGAAGTTAAGATCTACCTGATCTCCTGCCCTGCTCTCTCCTGCTTCCCTTTTTCATGCAAGCAAGTGGGAGACTAGAATCCTTCTTTCATAAAGTGGGTCACTGAAACTAGAACTCATCTCCCCCAGAGCAAGTCCTAAAGTCTAGAAATCTAATTCTAATCTACGCCCAGCCACCACCACCTTCCTGTGTTGGAGTTGGTCATAAAGAAATTCACTGACCTACCTTATCCGATAGTAAGGTATAAAGTCCTCATTTCAGAGGGATCCTACCCCATTCCAAGGAGGAAACAATGCCACATAGAGAGGCAGAGAAGAACCTAAATAGGCAAGTCTGGCAGGTTCTCCGCCACCCCATCTCCAACATCGTCTTACTATTACCATAATAGTTTTCCCTGGGTCTTTGGGGCTTCATTTCATAGGGCTCCCATGTCACATAAAACTTTGATAACATAAATTTGTCTTGCTGGTCCCTTACTACCTTGTTTCTGGTATAAGAGTGTGGGGTGTGGCCCTTAAAATGAGTGAGAAAAAGTATTATATCTTTCCACACCTACCACTAGGAATCTGGGTTGTTGATTTTTATGTGCACAGTGATTGGCTTCATCACACCATATATCTCTTTTCAGGTAAAGCATATCACACTGGATGGTGGCTCAACACTTACCTAGCACCTGCTTGTACTTAAAGAACTGGAAGGAATTCATGAAGCATACAAATGAGCAGAATTACAGAGATCAACTTACCAGCCAGCATATGCGTACATTCCATAATAAAAAGCCAGGGGCAATCCCATAACACTGGCATCTCTCCCTGAAAAGGCATCTTTAAAGTGCTGTGTTTGACCTGCAATTAGAATTGAGACATTTTAAAACTTGTCAAAGAATCGGTTATTATTTTTGTGCTTTAACTATAAACACAAGGGAAAGGGAACAATAGGAAATGAACATTTAACTCTAGATTTACTCTTCTCATTGCCAAGTTTATCTGTTAATACTGTATCCATTCTAGGAGTCTCAAAACCATTGATCACCATGAATGCAATTTCACATTTTGCTTTTAATAAGGTTATAACCAAGAAGAAAATGCATTAAAAACCATTCGAAGATGCCTCTACTATGACAATGAAAAAAAGGCTACAGGAGTTTCTGTAAACTGTAAATGTGGGGATGGTGATGGAATTCTTCAAAATGAAGAGAAGGGTCTGCGTTCTGGAGTAGCGGGTAAAGCCACAGCCTGTGATGGGCATCATCAACCCGTACAAGCACTTGTTCATGTCCCAGCTGCTCTGTTTTCTGATCCAGCTGCCTGGTAATAGCCTGGGATGATGGCTCAAGTGTTTGGGCCCCTGCCACCCAATTGTGAGACTTAGAAGAAGCTCCTGACTCCACAGCCTCAGCCATTGTGGTTATCTGGGGAGTGAACCGGTGGATAGAAGATCTCTCTCCCTCTCTTTCTGTCTTTCTTTCTGTCTCTGTAACTCTTTAAAATAAATAAATAAATAAATAAATCTTGAAAAAAAACTGAAGATAATGCATTGCTTATGCTTTTTTTAAGATTTTTTTTATTTATTTGAGGCAGAGTTACAGACAGCAAGAGAAAGTCAGAGAGAAAGGTCTTCCATCTGCTGGTTCACTCCCCAAATAGCCACAACGGCCAGATATGGGCCAGTTCAAAGCCAGGAGCCAAGAGCTTCTTCCAGGTCTCCCACATAAGCACTTGGGCCATTCTCCACTCCTTTCCCAGGACATAAGCAGAGAGGTGGATTAGAACAAAAGCAACTGGAACATGAACAGTTGCCCATATGGGATGTTGGTGCCACAGGCAGAGGCTTATCCTACTATGTCACAATGTGGCCTCTGCTTATGTTCTTAAAAATGTATATATGAAACACATGACTTCTTCCTTCCTAATTTGTATCCCTTTGATTTCTTTTTCTTGCCTGATGGCTCTGGCTAAAACTTCCAGTACTATATTGAATAGCAGTGGTGAGAGTGGGCATCCCTGTCTGGTACTACATCTCAGTGGGAATGCTTCCAACTTTTCCCCCATTCAATATGATGCTGGCTGTGGGTTTATCATAAATTGCCTTGATTGTGTTGAGGAATGTCCCTTCTATACCCAATTTGCTTCGAGTTTTTATCATGAAAGGGTGTTGTATTTTATCAAAAGCTTTCTCTGCATCTATTGAGATAATCATGTTTTTTCTTCTGCAGTTGTTAATGCAGTGTATCACATTGATTGATTTGTGAATGTTGAACCATCCATGCATACCAGGGATAAATCCCACTTGGTCTGGGTGGATGATCTTTCTGAAGTGTTGTTGCATTCTATTGGCCAGAATTTTATTGAGGATTTTTGCATCTATGTTCATCAGGGATATTGGTCTGTAATTCTCTTGCTCTGCTGCTTCATTTTCAGGTTTAGGAATTAAGGTGATGCTGGCTTCATAGAAAGAATTTGGGAGGATTCCCTCTCTTTCAATTGCTTTGAATAGCTTGAGAAGAATTGGAGTTAGTTCTTTTGTAAATGTCTGGTAGAATTCAGCAGTGAATCCATCCAGTCCTGGGCTTTTCTTTGTTGGGAGGGAATTTTATTACTGATTCAATTTCTGACTTGGTCATGTATTTGTTTAGGTTTTCTATGTCTTCATGGTTCAATTTAGGTAGGTTGTATATGACTAAGAATCTATCCATTTCTGCTAGATTTCCCAGTTCATTGGCATACAACTCTTTGTAGTAATTTCCGATGAGTCTTTATTTTTGTGGTGTCTATTGTTATATTCCCTTCTTCATTTCTAATTTTATTGATTTGGATCTTCTCTCTCCTTTTTTGTGTTAGCTGGGCCAATGGTGTGTCGATTTTCTTATCTTTTCAGAAAACCAGCTCTTAGTTTTGCTGATCTTTTGTAATTTTTTTTGGATTCAATTTTGTTGATTTCTTCACTATCGTTATTTCTCTTCTACTACTTTTGGGTTTGGTTTGCTGTTGTTTTTCTAGATCCTTGAGATGCATTGATAGCGCATTTATTTGGCCCTCAACTGTTGCCTCCAAGAATGTGAGTTAACAGGAAGATGGAATTGCAAGTGGAGCTGGGACTCAGGCCCAGGCATTCTGATATGAGCCCTCAAACCACCATGCCAAATACCCTAAGAAAATCGTAATTTTATAGTAACAGAGCAAAGATACCCATTTAAATACTCTTGAAGATGTTAAAACTTACTTTAAATGTATTAACATTCTTAGACAATTTCTGAATGAGATCTTTGGAGAACCCTGCTCACATTAAGCATTGATAATATGAATACTAATTATCATTTTATTATAATTACCAAACAAATTCAAGAGATGTGTCATGACCTCTGATCTCAAGGAATCTACATAACAATAACACTTGGGCAACCAAATCCTGCCCCACACACATGATAAATGATTTGTAAAACTAACTAGTCTATGCTGCCACCAATGTCACAAATTAAACAAAAATGAAAGAAAGTAATAAAGAAAAAGAAAGAAAGAGAGAGAGAGAAAGAAAGAAAGAAAGAAAGAGAGAAAGGAAAGAAGAAAAGAAAAGAAAAAAAGAAAGGAAAAGAAAGGCAAGGCAAGGAAAGGAAAGGAGGAAGGAAGGAAGGGAAAGAAAATATGTTTTCAATAAATAATATATCAATTTCAGAAATTTAAACTAGTACTAAAGAAAGGCCAGTGAATCAAGAGTTTCTATACTGTTTAAATTCTAAGAAATTCTTTACAGAAGACAAAAAAGTGAGCCTGGAAAAGAAAGCACCACACAGATTATTTTGCCTGCATTCCTAATGAATAGGATAGAATAGGAGCTGGCCAGCTTGATGGAGGCCAAGATGAATTAGAATAGCAAGCTCTTCACTCCCCTTCAGGGAGAGCTACAGTGTTCAGACCCATTGTACTTACTTGAGCCAGTTGAGGTGGCTGGATTTAATGAAAGTATTTAGCCAGTAGGACCCTAAGATCTCCCTCAAGGCTTATTAAATGGATACCAGCAGCTCCCTTTCCCAAACTACAGAGGGACTGATCTTGCATTGTTTGTTAGTGTTTAATGCCAACCGTGATTATTGTGCTGATCTCTGACATTTCCTTTTACTGTGCGTAATTCTTCTCATGCAACGTCATTAAGTTTCTCTATAAATTCCCTTTTGTGGACCAGACATTATCAATGTAAACACTAAATACTTAACATGCCCAAGTTATATGTCATCCCTTTACAATTTCTTCTCACTTTCCTATATCCAACTATATTGCCTATTGCCAATTAAATATCTCATGTGGACCTCATTCTCTGCCAACAGTTTCCACTGAATCCATGCAATTACAGGTCTGCCTCCCTAAAACAACTAAAACTCATCACCTTTCAACTCCTTTTCTCATTAAACAGTATACTCTGTAAGTCAGATAATACCAGAAAATGTCATATTCCAATAAAAAAACAAATGTTACATTAAACTAATAATAAAACCTCCCATTTTTACTATCTTATTTGCTTATAATTATCTTATTTTACAACTATTTTATTATATGTGGTGCTTAAGAATGCTAGTGTCATATCTCACTCCCCTTCTCAGGAAACCACTCTCTAGATAAAAGCAATAATAACCAGACAGTAAAAGAATGATTGGTGGGGCGTAGCAGATAAAGCCGCCACCTGCAGTGCTGGCATCCCATATGGGCTCAGGTTCCAGTCTGGCTGCTCCACTTCCAATCCAGCTCTCTGCTATGGCCTGGGAATTCAGTAAAAGATGACCCAAGTCCTTGGGCCCCTGCACCCACATGGGAGACCTGGAAGAAGCTCCTGGCTCCTGGCTTCGGATCTGCACAGTTCTGGCCATTGCAATCAATTGGGGAGTGAACCAGCAGATGAAAGACCTCTCTCTCTCTCTCCCTCTCTCTCCCCCTCCTCCTCTCCCTCTCCCTCTCCTTCTCTGTGTAATTTTGACTTTCAAAAATAATAAATAAATCTTTAAAAAAAAGATTGGTCATCTTCCTTTACTTTCCTGGTATTATCTCTTCTTTATTACTATAATCAAGAAATTTTAAAGTAGAAATAAAAGGACATACTTATCTGTAGCTAAAACCAAATGGTAGGTTTATTTTTTCCAGTGTAGGTTTTCACTCCAAGACTTACTACTAGAGAAATCATTGATGCCTTATTTTTTGCTTGGCCCACTCTTAATCATTTTGCTGCCATTCAACCATAAATATCAACTCACCCCCAATGTGGCAGCTTTTCATATCAATTAGATGACAGTAGAGTTTAACTTTCACAGGCAGAGACTAATTAAGGATTCTGCTAGTACAAGCAAAAGTTAATGTTAGAAGAGACCAAAAGCAGATACGTATTTTAAAAAGCATTTACTTTTCAGTTCATACCTTTAATTAACTGCATAACTCCGGGGACTATAATTATCAGAATTGCTGTGAGCTTGCAAAAGGTTAGAAAAATCTGGATCCGGGCACTCCAGCTGACACTCATGCTATTTAGGACCATCACTGCAGCTGCAAACAAACAGAAGAAGTTACAAAAGGCAAATCCTCATTGACATGAGGACATCTTGGGTCCTTGTCACCCAAGGGTAATCTACAAGCCAAAAGTATTACCATTGCCTACAAGAGTTTTAGAAATCTGAATCTCAGGCCCTGCTCCAGACCTAATGAATGAAAATCTCACTTCAACAAGGCCTCCATATGATTTTGAAAAGCTTGGATAAAACTTCTAAGCAGTAAGAATTACTCTCTTGTTCTTCGCATACATTGCTAGAATGAGTATATATTGTAGGACTCTGCTGGTCAAAAATATCTTCTAGCTAAATCCTGAAGCCAAGCCAGTGTGCATTCTGATGACTATGTTTGACACATTAACTTGATATAGCACCTCCATAATGGGACACCTGCAGTATGGACCACTCTAAAGGAAGGATATGAAAAGTAGTTGAGAGGGATCTTACTTTCCACCTCCAGGGCTAACCTTACCCAGCACTCTTTTTTTCGTTTTCTTCTCTGCTTTCTAATGAGTACATCAAGCATGACTTTTAATCTACCCTAGAAGTGTAGACTTAATTAGTCGGTCTACAGTTTTCCCAAGCAGCAGTTAGTATTCACCCTTCCTGCCTGTGCACCATGAAAACCCTGGGAAGGAATAAGGCTATTCATTTCTGTATTGCTAGTTTCTAACTCAGAACTAGGTAGACAATTGACACATTTTATTGAATTAATGAACGAACTGGATCCTCAGAAAAACAGGCACAAAAGAGAATAGTGATGCTCTAAGATTTTTCCTTTCTTCCTGCTGGGATGAGTGAGGTTATTCTAGACAGTAAATATCAACTTTATTCTCTTCCCAAAACCTCATGCTTAATGGTAACAACAACAATAACAACAAAATGCTGCCACATTTATGACAATTGCAGGTATTATCTATAACCTTTATTTTTTATAAAGTGTCATTTTCTCCAAATATTAAAACTGTGTGAAACTATGTCTCAGAGGATGAACACAAACACAGAATTTTTATAATTCAATTGTAAGTTTTCCTTACGTACAGCAATAAGATTTATCTTCACAGTTTCCATTGCATAATATAATCACTAGCTCATTTTGGAATTTGTATCTCAGTACAGAGGTGGGCATTCTGTATAGGGGTAAAGATGCCCCTTGCAATGCCTGCACAACATATCAGAGTGCCTGGGTTCAAGTCCCAGCACCACCCCTTATTTCAACTTCCTGCCGATTCATACCCTTGGGGACAGCGGGTAATGACTCAAGTAGTTGGGTCCCTGACTCCATGTGAGAGACCCAGACAGTATTCCAGGTCCTTGGCTTCAGCCTGACCCAGTTCCAGATGTTGAGGGCATTTAGAGAGTGAACCAGCAGATGGGAGATTTCTCTCTCTCCCTATCAAGTAGATAAAATAAACGAATAATAAAATTTCAAAATTAAAAAATAGCCAAATGTTATCAACACATCATATAAAATGGGAAAAATTTTTTAAAGAACCTAGATCCCCACATGGAGATTAGTTAGGATGTATACTTTTTTATTTATTTATTTATTTATTTTTTGACAGGAGAGTGGACAGTGAGAGAGACAGACAGAGAGAAAGGTCTTCCTTTTCTATTGCTTCTATTAATGATTCATATGCAAATATTTAAAATCATGATGCAGTTAAGTAATTACTACATGAAAGGGTGTTCATCATATATTATTAATATAGTAAGTTATGCAGAGATGAATGGATAGATCTATTGATCAACCTATCTACTGACAGACTCAAAGAGAGAAAGGAAAAGATCTGAAAGACTATTTACCAAATCATTAACAGCAAGTGTTTATGGATGACAGAACATCAAATTTTCCACTTCTAGTATTATTTTTCTGCACTATTTAAATATATTTTATGATGACTATATAACATGTTGATGATATTGTTGGCAGTACTGAATTTCTTCCTCTTTCATTCATTTTAGTCTTTCATAAATGAATTGAAGATCTGTATAGCATCAGAACTATAGAAAAATGTGTTACGTGTACTGCATACTTGAAATGTGCTTAGATTTCTTACACACAGAAAATGAAGGAAGCTAACTAAGCAAGACAATAGATACATTAACTAACTTGGTTGCAGTCATCATTTCACAAAGTGTATGTACAACAAATCATTACTTTGTATACTTCAAAATAACACGATTTTATTTATCAAACATGCTTCAATATAGCTGAGAAGTTTTTAAATAAATGAAGCAGTAGAGCAAATTTAACTTCTGAAATAAATTCCAAGATGAGAAAAACTTAAGAATCAGAAGATGCCACACACAGTCAAATGGAGGATTATTAATGAAAAAATATTTTGAAGAAGTAACAGTGGAAATGCTTAAAAGGTTAGAATACTGAATAACCTACAGAAGAGGCTAACGGAGGATATTTTATCTATGTTCAAAGCTGAAAACATGAAAGGATAAGCCCATTGTCATCAACAAAATGTGTTACTTTATTAAGAATGAAAAATAAAACAAAATTATTTACCTCTCCCCAACCTAAAGCACTTTTATGTTGAAAATAATTTAGTGCAACTCAGCTGCCCTCTTCACCATCCAGTGATTTCTTTTCTATGTGAAACATTGTGATAAATGAGTCACCATGAGAAAATTATTTTTTAAATTAAGGAGTTTCAACTTTGGCAAGAAAGTGAAAAAACTGGTCTCATGTTCCCACCAGGAAGAAAAGAGCACTGTTTTGCTTCAGATAGACCTTTTAAAATCCAAACTAATTTCTATTTTTGAAAGTACTGACAATAGAAAAGAACTATTATACAGAGTGGAAGGAAGAAAAAGAAAGGAAAGAGGGAAAAAAGAGAAAACAGTGAGGTGGGGAGGCAGAAGGCAGAAAAGGAGGAAAGGAGGGGAAGAAACAGGAGGAAGGAAAAGAAGACGGAGGGAGGGAGAGAGATCTTATTGGAGCAGACAACCATCTATGAATTTAAAAAGAGGGAACAGGGTTCCTACTTTCAGGAAATATATAAATATATGATGCCTACTGAAACAGAAAAAAAAGTGAGTATTGGGCCCTCCTTTTTGCAAATTTTTCTTAGACAAAGGGAGGACAAAACCAAACAAATATTACAGACTGATAATCTCACCTTGCTTTCCTCTCAGAAAACTGAAACAAAATTCTGGATCTGACTGGTTTTTCTCAAAGGTTTCTCAAAACCCTGCTTTATCTGGGCATCCAGACCTCGCACTCATTATTTGTTACACCAAATTCCAGCTGAGACGGACTTGTGTGACCCTGCAGGTACAGCTTAACAAGCAAAGAGGCAGCCAGCACTGAGGCACAGCAGCGGTTCTCAAGGGGCTGTAACCGCTGTTTCATCATGTGTCTTTACAGTGATATTTAAGACTATGCATGTTGCTTACCCAACAATATTGAAAAGGGATTTGGGACTCACTAAATGCAAGAGTTTTCTGAGCTTCTGAAACAAACATCTGTTTTTTTTATATATACTATCTACTCACATGGTAATAATGAAGGCAATCTGAGACAGTGCTCTGATCCTGGCTTTACTTCCTTTGAGTAACAATTACTAATTTCACACATGAGTAAATAATTACATCAGTTTGGGGTTTTTTTTTCTTTTGCTTGCCTTAAATTTTATCAAAATGAAAATACAGGGATAGGTAGTTTTTATTTTCTTGGTTGTGATACGGTTTCCTAAGGACTGAAATGTAGCAATGAAAGCTGCATGTATAAATCCTGGACATAAGAAATACATACTGGTAGGAAGCTGTATTTGCAGAGGATGTTTAGGGAAATGTTAAAGATTGACACTGTGATTTGTGTACTAGCAAATATTTCTTGCACACTCTCCATAATTTGGGACTGCCTTTGGTTTTGGAGAATGAGATTACAGAGTTTGGATGCATAAATTTTTCTTCCAGGTTCAAGTTCTTTTGGGCTTCTAACTATTGCATGCTAAGCTGATAAAAATAAATGGATATTATCCCCGCATGCTACATGGTGAGATGATGTGGGTTCCACCATTTTTTGTAATAGCTGCCTGAGTTCTCTTTGTGTCTGCTAGCATTCATTTCGAGGATGCATTTACTTCAGAGATGATATGTAGCAATAAATGCTTTTCAAAAGCAGACAGCAGATCGGTAACTAATCTCTCCCTGTTGGGAATAAAATGTAAAGAAATGTAAACTATTATTAATGGCCAATATAGTACAAAGACCTTACATGGACAATGTTGTTTAATCCTCCTATCAGGTTACTAATACTGGCTTTAGTTTTCAGATTAGCAGCTGATAATCAGCACATTATTTACCTTGTCTATGTTCATATAAGTAGGAAGTGTGAAGATAGGACTGGAGCCAGATGGTCCAAATTTGGAGCCCACACTTTCACCATTAGTTCACAGGTAAACAATGAGGAACTGGCTCAAATACATATGATCTCATTAGCACTAGTTTTTTTCTAGCTTGGGATGACTCTTCCTCCCTGCAAAGATTCAGATTTATCTTAGGCAGGATTTCTCTCTAAGAATTGTTTGTCTTGGTAATTTAGTTTTGGTAGAAGAGGAGAGGGCATAGCAGACTTCAGAAGTTTTAACCTGAGCCATTCCATGTGCTATACTGAAATGCTAACACAGAACTAGCCCTAGAAGTTCTTTCCTGTAGTTTAATGGTGATGGGAAAATGCAGTTTTGAAAACAAAAATATGGCAGGACATTTGTAGAATCAGCTAATTGTTTTCACAATGCACACACAAATGGTATTTTGTTTGCTCCTCCCAATCACTCTCACAAGGTCTGAGAGGTAGTATGGAGCTCTTACCTCAACATGTAAAATAAGCTAGCAAGGAAATTGAGACTGAGTTTATTAGGGGTGGATCTGGACCTAGATCTCACATCTTAAGGCACGTATGTTTAAAAGAACTCTGCCATTCACATGTGTATTTATACAGAGTGTAGTTTTAGGAGACAAGGACAACAGTATTCTAAATATTGAACATCCACTAATGTTTATTGAAACCACAACAGCCATGAGAACTCCCGTCTTTTATAGAAGGTAAAGAGACAAATGTCAGTTTGGGCTACAGAAAGCAGCCAAGTAAGAAAGTATGATTTTCCAATTAAAACTCCATGTGCCTGACTTGTTTACCAGAACAGGATTTTGAATAAGCAAAAAAATTTTCTTCTTTATTAATCTGAGAGAAATGAAGTAGAATTTTTTTTTAAATTGAGGCAAATAAGCATTCAGTTAACCCCCACCCTTACCCTATTATCATTTCTCAAATACTTGAATAATGTTTCATAAAAGTCAAAACTTTTTTTCTCCAGTGAACTAGAGCTTTCTAAGTGCAACAGACTGTTTCCTTCCCCCAAAGAACACAGGGAAGCAATTCATGCAATTAAACTCTATTTTCTACATCTCAGGAACCTTCCGCCCCTAACAGGCAGAAAATCACCTCTCCTCACTTTGAAGAAGGAAGGATGTGAGAGATTTGCCCCCAGGTAAATTTCTCCTTCTCTATCTGCAACTCCACCTCCTGTTGCTCCATTAAAGCTAAATTCTGTTAGAGACAGTTTGACTTTCCCAATTAGGCCACCAATTTACATTACCTCCCACTGAGTTATAAGGATATTCAGTTTTCTCAATGCTTCTACCCTGGAAACACATTTCCTTCTCAGAATCTCAAGCTTGCAAAAGGAGCATCAAAACTTATAAATTAATCCTATAGAACAGTGGCAAACAGGAGATGTTTAGGTTCACCCAAGACATACTCAGGCTCTTTGTTAACTATTCCACTCCAATCTCTGCTACATACATTTTGTGAACCGCAACTTACTTATCCTTTCCTGTAACTACTTTAAAGTTTTGGTTTGAAGAGTTTCCACTGAATACTCTAAATACAAATTTTTCTCTTTAAGAAGTTTTATAGAATTTGGACAAATAAGAAGAGTCATCTATATGGACAAAAATAGAAATATATTATTATCTATCCAATTCCAAACACAAAGTGGACAAAACTTGTGGATTTTTAAAAGATTACATAAGACCTATTTAAAGTCTTCTGATTATAGCATTATTTTTTAGGATTTATTTATTTGAAAGGCAGAGTGACAGAGAGTGGTTGAGAAAATTGAATTGCAAATGACTGCAATGACAGGGGTTGGGCCAGGCAGAATCCCGGAGTCCAGAGTTCTATCTGAGTCTCCCACATGGCAGGGTCTCAAGTGCTTGGGCCAGCCTCCACTGCCCTGCCGTGTTCATCATCAGGGAGCTGGATTCGAAGTGGTGCAGACTGAAATCGACACTCTGATATGGGATGCAGGTGTCCCATGCAGTGACAGCCTGCCAAGCCAAAATGCTCACTGCTGTTGCACTTTTGGATTAATAACCTCTATTGTTAACTTGCATAGCTCTCAAAAATACTACCTCTAGCCTTTTTTTTTTCTAAATATGATCATTTCAATAAGGTTCTACATCAGTCATTCAAGAGAAAAGAATATGGTGATATAAAAATGTTAGTCCAAACTCAATGCAACAACAGATTTTTTTCTTTTTTTATTTATTTGATAGATAGAGTTAGATAGTGAGAGAGAGAGAGAGAGAGAGAGAGAAAGGTCTTCCTTCCATTGGTTCACCCCCCAGTGACCGCCACAGCCGGTGCTGTGCTGATCCAAAGCCAGGAGCCAGGTGCTTCTTCCTGGTCTTCCATGCGGATGCAGGAGCCCAAGCACTTGGGCCATCCTCCACTGCCCTCCCGGGCCACAGTAGAGAGCTGGACTGGACTGGAAGAGGAGCAACCGGGACTAGAACCCGGTGCCCATATGGGATGCCAGCACCGCAGGTGGAGGATTAACCAAGTTAGCCACGGCGCCAGCCCTGCAACAACAGGTTTCTTAAGAATTTCCTATGGGTAAGGCATTCTATTAAAGGCCTTCAAATTTCTGAGTTAATTTATTTTTCTACTGCCATTCAAGATAAGCAATCTTTCCAGAAGTATTTTAGTAATAAGTAAAACTGAGGCTTAAAGAAATTTAGTAATTAGCTCAGGATCACATAATTAAGAAACTGTTACACTAAATTTCAATCTCAGGTTTTTTACCTCCAGATCCTGAGCTATAATATAAACCACTATGCCAAAATGGTTCATCCCATAAAAACTCATCATGTTAAATAGGAACAGCATATTCAAGGTAACTGTTTCATTTTACCACCAATTTTCTGATGCTTGAGTCCAATCCTCAAAGTTTGGGTTTTTTGTTTTTTTGGGTTGTTTTGTTTTGTTTTGTTTTGTTTTGTTTTGTTTTTGTCAGGCAGAGTTAGACAGTGAGAGAGAGAGAAAAGTCTTCCTTCCGCAGGCTCACCCCCCAAAATGGCTGATATGGCAGGCGCGCTGTGCCGATCCAAAGCCAGGAGCCAGGTGTTTCTTCCTGGTCTCCCATGCAGGTGCAGAAGCCCAAGCACTTGGGCCATCCTCCACTGCCTTCCCAGGCCACAGCAGAGAGCTGGACTGGAACAGGAGCAACCGGGACTAGAACCCAATGCCCATATAGGATGCTAGCGCCCCAGGCAGAGGATTAACCAAGTGAGCCATGGCACCGGCCCTGTTTTTTTTTTTTTTTTTTAAGATTGATTTATTTATTTGAAAAGCAGAATTACAGAGAAACAGAGGCAGAGAGAGAGAGAGAGAAAGAAAAAGAGAGAGAGATCTTCCATACACTGGTTCACTCCCTAAATGACCCAAATGGCCAGAACTGGGCCAATCCAAAGCCCAGAGCCTGGAGCTTCTTCCAGGTCTCCCACGTGGATGCAGGGGCCCAAGCATTTGGGCCATCCTCCACTGCTTTCCTAGACCATTAGCAGAGAGCTGGATCAGCAGTGGAGGAGCCAGGACTGGAACCGGCGCCCATATGGGATGCCAGCACTGCAGGCGGCTCCTTTACCTGCTATGTCACAGCACCAGCCCCAATCCTCCAAGTTTAAAACATAAATAAATTATAGACTATTCTGCTAGAGAAAAGCTTTTTATATCTCTTCTAATAAGATCAGTCAGTGAACAAATATTTTTTGAGCACAAACAACATGCCAGGAAGTGTGAAGGGACTGGAAATAAAACAGTGAATAAATAGTCCTTAGTCTCATGGAACTTCAAGTTCTATCATTACATTAAATAGCTATCATTAATACTGTGTTAAAAACTTGCAGGTATTACTGAAAGCATTTTTTATATATTGTCTCATTGAACATCATTTAGTCCTCCCAACACTGTATAACACTAGCACGGTTGCCGGATAAGAATGCTGAGGTGCAGAGGGAAAGTTCAGTGATTTGCCTCCGTGTGTCACGTGTGTACTGTGTGTCAGGAGCAAGATGAATCAAATACACCATTGCCTCGCCAAACTCAGAAATCTCCATTTACAGTATTCTTTGGCTTTTCAGAGATTTCACTGAAGAACAATTATACTCACATATTTGGTGGTTAAAATGGGAAATTCAAGATGAACCTAATTAAGCCTGGAACTATATTTAGGGCCCGGCGCTGTGGCTCAGCGGGTTAACGCCCTGGCCTGAAGCGCTGACAACCCATATGGGCACCAGTTCTAGTCACAGCTGATCCTCTTCTGATCCAGCTCTCTGCTGTGCCCTGGGAAAGCAGTGGAGGATGGCCCAAGTCCTTGGGCCCCTGAACCCATGTGGGAGACCTGGAAGAGGCTCCTGGCTCCTGGCTTTGGATCAGCATTGCTCCGGCTGTTGCAGCCAATTGGGGAGTGAACCAATGGATGGAAGACCTCTTCCCCCCACCCCCGCCTCTCCTTTCTGTGTAACTCTTTCAAATAATAAATAAATCTTTTTAAAAATAAGAACTATATTTACTTGGCACTCTATAATTTCTGTGTAATTTCTAATGATTGCCTAGAAAGTAACCACTCAGCTTGCTGTTGTCAAAAGTGCGTATTTTTCTTCATTGTTCTGTTGAAACACCTAAGTTGTACATGGCAAAAATTCTTTCATGAGTACACAATTCATTTATTTCTGACTACCTTCCCATTTCTGAGCAGTTAAAACTTAATCAAAAGTGTTCATACTGACTTTTTTAAAAACAGTGATTCAATGAACATTGCAAATTATGCTGTCCTTTCCCATCATGCTCAAGGGTTTGTTATTTGGAATCTTAGGGAAAGTTAGAGACATATTTGACCTTTATGTCACTCACATCACTTAGTGCATGTTCCTTTTTTTCACTTCCTAATAGCCAATACCATTGATAAAGAAATGAACAAGTTTCTAATTTTGAGACCATAAAGAAACCTCCTAGTTGAAAAATGCTACTAATAATCAAATCTTCAAAGAAAAATCTAATCATGAGCATCAATAGAGAGCTAAAACTGTAACACTGAGGGTGAGAGCTGTTAATAGAATAAAACTTATGAACACAAGATACACACCCAATGCATTAACATAGCTCCACAACAAGTGTGAGTTATATTTCAAAATATCCCTGAGGTAGGATAATCTCCAATTGAAAAAAAAATCATAAAATAATTGGACTTTCACTTTTAAAGTAGTTTTTTATACACAATCCACTTAATGTTTTACTTACAAGTTTTCTTGTTTTAAAATATTAGTCATCATATCTATTGCCTGAATGCAAACCAGGCATGAAATGTAACATCAGAGAGTTGTATTCTTTTCCTTAGTTTCCAACACAAATTTGGAACTATAACCAAAAAGAATACAAAGTGGAAAGTAGTACAACCATGCAAAAAGTCTAAAGAAACTTTATCTTCAATCACTTGCTTTTTTTTTTTTTGATATTTTTATCTATAATACTCACTTATACCCACAGCTGTAACCAGCTTGATCGCAAGTTCAGGAATTTCACATTGAATAAAAAATGGTTCCAGAATGTAGCGTCCAAATGCCAGGGATATCACAGCAGTCGCTGCAGGGCTAAAAAAAGTGTATATATATATATTTATATTTAGGTGAACTACAGGAAAATATAAACAATATTTTCATTTAATTTTTTCTACTTTGAGGCATTATTATTTATCATATGGAAAACATTAAACATAAAATCTGCAATTTTCAGAGCTTCATATTTGTTTATGCTGTCATAGACATTCCAAATGAAATATTGCCTATAATATTAGTGGCTAATTTTTAACTTCACATTTTCTTGGAAGCAAGGGTAGATACAATCAACTTTGCCTCTACTCTCCCAAATTTGACATTTTTCCACTTAAAAATCTGATTTATTACAGAAGATGCTGACAAAGCTGGGCCTTATTAAAAGTAATCTTGTTTCTCAAATCAATAATTAAGCTCCAGCCACAGTATGCATTTATTAACATGACAGATCTACTGAGCTAGGGCATGGTCAAGAAAATGAACACAAAACTTGATCCAAAAAATGAGTTTTGATAAGTGTCCTTTGAAAATACATGACTAAATACTTGACATAGTTTTATTCTTATTTTTCCTGTATAGACAGAAACTCAAAGCCAAGTGATTATTCTTAACTCCATAAAAATATTTTGATGCAAAGTATAATTTAAAACTAATAGTACTCTTGTAATTTTAGATAAATAAGTTCATGTACGTACCAACATAAGGAATACAATGTTCTAATGTAATTCTTCAAATATTTCTATGAGAATATCACATATTCTTATTTTAAATATATGTACATATGAATGCATATTCTTTATATACATGAGCAGGTCCATGTTATCATCTCAGTATTTATGACAAATTTCCCTTTTAGCTTTTCGTCTTTCTTATGTTATCTAACACCCATGCCTGGTCCCTGTATTATCAGAAATCCAACCACCATTATGTGTTTCTAATCTTGGCTTGCTGGTACTAGCCAGCATCATTCATTTCTTGATTTTCTTTTTTCCTCTTCTCTTCTCTCCAAACAAGACTATTTTTCCTGTTTTCCATCATTTTCATTCATAAAATATAAGCTGATTATGCCATCTTGGCACTTTCAAACGTACTCAGAATGTATAAAAGTCCTTTATACTGCATTCAAGCCTCTATCTGGTCTAAGTACTCCTTACCTCTTTAATCAGCTGCCTCCCACATAGAGGAGCTGCACCTTTTCTTCCCAAAGCCTTTTCAACTCATTGGCTATTTTTAATATCGCAGATATTGGTTCAATTTCCCTTCACCTGGGGAAGCATCTCCAGTTCTCTGGTAGGTCAGAGCTGCTGGAGTACACTCCCACTGCACCTTGTCCTCCCTTCCACAGTGTTCATCACAGCAATTTTATATACACTGACATGATTTCTTGATTGATCACTATTTCTCCCAACTAACCCCGAACTCCAGGGGTACAAGACTGTGTCCTTCCTAATCATGGTTTTACCCCCATTGGTTAGTACAGAGTCTGTCATACAACAGAAACTGAATATATATTGAATATACAGTGAATAAGTGAATTGAATGACCCTCTTCCTTACTGCGCTCTGATGGATGATTTGTCTTTCTTTGAAATCTGCTTTACAGATTATTTCAGGAAAAACTGAGTCAATCTGAAAATATAATTTTACTGGGAAGTATTGCGCTGTCACGGGTGTTGGAAACAGAAGAGAAATGCTGAAGTACTTCAACATCTTGTACTCCTTAAGCTATTTGTTATCTGCCTATTTGAAGGACCAAATCAGCAGCACAAGTCCATCATGACAAAAGGGTAAATAAACACATTTTTAAAGTTTTTAAAATATATCTAGGTAATACCTTCTGTGAACACACACACAAACCCAACACTGCACCATGAGGCAGTTGTCTTAGAATTAAGGCAACATCTGATCATCAGTTACTTGAGAGCAGGAATTGTGGCTCATTCCAATTTAGATATCTCTGTCTTGTCATTCATATTCAGTGGCACTTTATGAAATGAATAAATTAGTGAATGAGCACCATATCCATGCTACTGCAAATGGAATGATCATGCTAATAATAATAATAATACCAAGCAATTAGACAAATTTATGTAACTAATAGATGGAAGGAGATAAATTCAATACATCAGGCTCCAAAATGCAAGAGCCTGCTACCTGATGGGATGGCAATATACATAAGTAGTTCACCCATCTGAAAATTGAACGTGTTGTATTTAATATATAACATTGAAATTTCACTTATCCAAAAATAATTTAATATCCAGGTCTAATACTTTTTTGTTACACTTTGTTAAACCTGGTCTTACATATTTGAAATGCTTGCAATTTTAACAAAGAAACAGAATTCAGACACCTAACATATTAAGTAAGGATACAAGGTATGCGGCCAAAGTCAAATGAGAAGCAGAGATTATGTTTTTCAGAAATAAAGAGATAAAAGAAATTCTATAAACTAGAACAAGCATGAAATTAACTCTGGAAAAGACAGGATTAAAGTTGACCTTTGGGGAATATGTAAGAAATAATTCAAAACAAGTAGAAGTACATCCCAGGATGATGGATATTAGAAAAAGAACAAAATTCTCCTTTATCATTATTTCAATATAATAAGTTTTAAATAATGCAGAATTGTTCAAAATTAGAAGAGTCTTAACAATGAGTTGTATACTACTCTGAAGTTCTTTGATATATAAAAAAGGAGACATCTAACACCATAAAATTCATGATGAGTATTAATGGATAAACTTAATAGTTCTGCATTTGCCACTTACCATAAATAACAGAATATAAGCTCATTAGAGTGTGCAGCTTTATAAAAGGAGTATTCAAAAGTTTCATGGAAAATATGCATTATGTTTTAATTCCATTTTTCCATGAACCTTGTGAATCTCCTTGGAGGTCTGATAAGTTTACCTATACCACTAGTTCTCCACTTATTTCTACTGAATTCTGTCACTTTGGATGGATGTAGTTAGCCTTTGGGCCATGTAACCCAGTACACTGCTCATATGATGTCATAAGTTCCCCCACAAAGTTGAAAGCAATTTGCTATTCAGCGTGACTTAGCACTATTTGTTGCCAAGACAATCAGGAAGAGGAACACATTCTTAAAACAATAACAAAAAAGATTTTCGCAACTGCAGCTCATTGATTTGCTTAAGGTGAGGAAGTGAGTCATTTATGGGATGTAAACTTAATGTTTTGTAAAGTGCAGGTCTTGGTGACACACCAAGTTGTTATTAGGCATAGAAATTTCTTAGTCACGAAATTGAATAGCTAAATGACCAAATGATATACCCTGTAATTCAAACAAAATCTCCAAGTCAGCATGCTGAACTTTGTCAGTCAGTCAAAAGGTACGATTTATCAAGGTGAACTTTGATGCTACATATCCTTGCAAGTAAGCATCTTTCCTAGAAATGTCACGGAAAATAATTCAAGATTAATAAAAAGCATTACCTTAAAAGTGTGGCATTTTTAGTGAACTGTTGCCAGTGACAAATATGTTTTAAAATGTTAATTCAGAAAGGTATTTATCACAGACTTTATATCCTAAAGTTTACATGTTTACAACACAGTCACAAGAGATGCATATTTCTAACTAGTAAAAATAACCAAGGTGACTCAGAAGAATGACATACACATAGGTTTCTTTTTTCTTAATATTTTTCTATGTTCTTACCGTATTATGAGCAGTTCAACCCAGACTCGTACAAAAGCTAGCAATGGACCAAAGACTTCCAGAATATAAGTGTAATGGCCACCAGATTTCTTTATACTTGTTCCCAGTTCAGCATAGGACAAGGCTCCTGTGAAATATTTATAATAAAAAGGTACAAATTTAATATATTATCAAGCCACCCAGCAGAAGAATCACTCAAGCAATGTTTATGTTGCCTGAGTTGTAACTATTTCCTTGGGGTGAATGGCGTCCTTATTTCAAGACAAATAACCGCCATGTACTTGCTGAAACCTACCAAGTTCCTCTTCCAAATTCCTCTCTTGGAGCTCTAGTTCACTGTATTTGAACAATATAATTTTACTTAAAATGGTAAGGACAAACTTCTAAAATAGTACCATAGGTTTCAGAATTTTGAGTTGAGCAAGGGAAAACTAGAAGGTGGATACCCATCATAGTGACTTGTTTCGTGAAGAACAGAACTTCATACCAAAATAAATAATTGTCCCAACCTGACCTTATTATATTGAGAATCCTTTAACAAATGATACTTCCATAGCAAGTGAAAATAAGTAAATTTTTGGCTGCTCTCCAGGAAAATATGGATCCTATGACCTGCGAGACTCCATTTCATTTGTAGGATATATATTCTGTGATTGAAATGAATTTTGATTCCATTTTTTGTTGCTAGAAAAGGTTATTTGGATGTTTGTGAAGTATATATTCTGGGTGGTTGAAAGAACATACTTTTAAAATTAAAAAGGGATGTTACAGTTTATATTTAAGAACACTAGGTAAAATTACTTATAAACAGAAATGTTAACATTTAGGAATGCAAGTCACATGGAATTGGGCATGAAATATAACCTCTCAGAACCTCAGTTTCATCTCCTATGAGATGGACCTCAATTTTCACTTCACAGGGGAGTTGTATGCATATATGTGACAGCAGGAGATACAGCTATATCTATATATCTATTAACTTGAGCAATTATGAGAAAATGAAAAATAATATTATTTGAAAAGTTTTATCTATACTGCTAAACACTCAAATGTAACATACAACTTTTGCCCAAGTTTCATCAGAAACAAAAGATGGAAAAATGCTACTAATCAGTTATGCTTTTGGTACAGCTATTCAACAAAAGTAAATTTTGAAGATGCAGTGAAATCTTAGTAGCACTTTATCCCTGAACATAGCACTATGCAAGAATCACCTGGAAATAATTTTTAAGTAGCAAACAAATGTTCTCTCTCTTACTCTTTCCCTTCTTCTCTCTCTTTGCCTCTGCCCTTCAAATAACTAAATAAATCTTAAAAGGGGGGGTGGGGTGGCCAGTGCTGTGGCATAGCAGGTAAAGCCAATGCCTGTAGTGGCCTCATCCCATATGGGCATGGTTCAAGTCCCAGCTGCTCCACTTCTGATCCAGCTCTCTTCTATGGTCTGGAAAAATAGTGGAAGATGGCCTGAGTCTTTTGGGTGGTCTGGGGAATGAATCAGTGGATGGAAGATTTCTCTTTTTCTCTAACTCTGCCTTTCAAATAAATAAATAAGTAGATAAATAAATCTTTAAAAAGAAAAAGAAAACAAATGAGGGGCAGACACTGTTGTATAGCAGGTAAGGCCACAGCCTGTATTAGCGGCATCCCATATGGGTGCCGGTTCAAGTCCTGACTGCTCCACTTCCAATCCAGCTCCTTGCTAATGATCTTGGAAAGCAGCAGAAGTCTGCCCAAGTCCTTGGGCTCCTGCACTCATGCAGAAGATGGGGAAGAATCTCTTGTCTCCTGGCTTTGGATAGGCCCAGCTCTGGCCATTGTGGCCATTTGGAGAATGAGCCAGCAGATAGAAGATCTGTCTCTCTCTGTCTCTGCCTCTCTGTAACTCTACCTTCCAAATAAATAAATAAATTTTAAAAAGAAAAACAGGTTGTCTTTAAAAAATAAATAAAGAAAAGAAAACAAATAAAAGACAGACTGTAAGACCACACTACACGCCTACTCTCCAATAGAGTTAAGCTCCCATAGGAGGGACCAAGAATCTCTCATACAAAATGTTATTGGAAAAACTCTTAAGTACCTCAGAATTTATTGTCACAAAATCAATGCCTACACCTATGTATGCTTTGCTGTAACTCCAGGATGGTTGCTCTAGATTTGAATTGAGTTCTAGGGGAATAGGATTTTCATTTAAAGATTTCAAGCTCTATAATCACTTTGCATAGATGAAAAACAAAGTTGAAAACAGGATGTAAAAATCTATCTATTGACCCTGGCTTTTAAAAAGTGCAAAGCAAAAGCTTGCACTTAGCCTAGTAGTTATGATGCCAACACCTCATATCAGAGTATCTGGTTTAATTTCCAACCCCAGCTCTAACTCTAGCTTCCTGGTAAAGCAGACCCTAGAAAGCAATGGTGATAGCTCAAGTAATTGAGCTTGTGCCAGCCAAGTGGGAGACTTGGGTCGCATTCCTGGTTACAGGCTTCAGTGTTGGCCCAGACCTGGTCATTCCAGGCATCTGGGCATTTAGGGACTGAACCAGTGGTTAGGATCAGTTTCTCTCTCTCTCTCTCTCTTCCTCCTCCCACTCCCCCTCCAAATAATTTTTTTTTTATTTGTAAACCAAATACAGACACTCCTCCACTTATGATGGGGTTATCTCCTGATAAATCCAGTGTAAGTTGAAAATGACATATATGAACTTTGCATTTAATGCCCCTAACACGCTGAACATGACAGCTTAGCCTAGTTCATCTTAAATATGCTCAGAATACTCACAATAGCCTACAGTTGGGCAAAGTCATCTAACACAAAATCTGTTTTATAATAAAGTATTGAACAGTGTGGATGATTTATTGGATAAGTTATTATTATTATTATACACCACTGTGAAATCATAAATCAAACGATCTTGAGTTAGGGACTGTTTGTACACAGATTCTTTACTTTTAGTCCCAGAAAAAAATGTTTTCCTTACATTTGCTTTGCTTCCTGTTAGGGAGGTGCTCCTGTCAAAAGGCTCCTAGTACTTTAAGTGACAAAGTCAATGCAAATACAGAGAAGTAGATTAATACAAGAGCACACTCCCTCCCTGCAATTAGTAATCAAAAAATACCAACTCACATGTGACTTTGGCTTGTTTTCTCTGAGTTACTGCTCTAAATGACATACTAATGCATTACCATGTTGTCATAGTGCCAAGTCAACATCACTTTTACCAGTTGAATACTCAGAGTAGTCTAGTTTGTTACATCTCAATAAGTTTTTGTATGTGCAAGAATGGAATCACATTATGAAAAATGCATATACATAAGTATGCAAAGTCCAGGAAACTGGCTGTGGTTTTTCTGATCAAATATTGATTTATTCTGAACAGCCCAAGTACTGCAAGAAGATTCAAGGCTGAGGGTGCACAGAGTCTTTATGAAGATAAACAATTAGGTTTCTCTTTATTTATAACTGTATATGAAGAACTATTTTAATATTAATCACAGCCAAGGGTTCTGTCAGTTTGCCATAATCAGACTACTTCAAGGTATTCTATAAGGATGGAGAGTAACACTTGGAAAACAATGACACACAATATTACTGAATATTTTATAAAACACAAACTCTTCACATAAATAATGCTACAAACTCTTTCTGAAAACCTAAAAATATTTTTGACACTGACTTTGTTTTAACAGATTTTACTTAAAATACTTTCCTCCTAAAAATATAAGCCTGCCGATGACTGCCCAAAGCAATGGATTAAAATATCACAAGATTCAAATAGAAAGACTGAATGTATGGGTACCTATTGGACTAAGAGTTAGTACTTGGTCCTAGAATTAGGAAAAGATCAATAACTTCAAAGCGTAGTAACTTTCAAAATCAAAACAATCTATTTCAGAGATGAGCAAATAATCTTAGGCATTCACTGCATAGCATAAATCAAGTTAATTTTTGATAACTGCAGTTTTTGTAACATTTCCAACTAACTCAGGTAACTTTCTAGCAATCTGCCAATGATATGAAGCATCATTTATTACTTCTGTATCATTAACTCATAAATCAATAGGAGAGACATGAATCTTGAAAAAAAAATCATACTTCTTTGACCACTTCTCTTTAAATTAACTCGGTGAACAGGTAGACAAATTACTTGATTTCCTGGAAACTAAGTGAAACACAGACGAAGAGAACAGACCCAGCCAGGCACAACAAGCTAACAGCCAAGGAAGTTTTAAAACTTGCATTGCAGAAGGTGAGAAGTGTTAAGGAGAGATAAAGGTTGAAAAATATTTGAAGTATGTTCAGGACATTGCCACATTCCCACGGATGAGAGAGACTGAGTTAAGGGTCTGCATGCATCTTTCCATGTCACTGACTTTTGAAAGAATATCAGGAATTGACAAGCAGATGAACTTAGAAGGAAGAGACTGCTGCCCATTTGTTTTGCTAATCAGAAGTCAGTGAGACTCAAGCTGAATGCTCAGTTCTGGGTCTGAATAGGCCACTCCGGGTTTTGCCTCACAGGTGTCTCATTCAGTGTGCCAGCTGCCTGAATGCCCCCACCAGATGTAACTAAGCACAACAGCCAGGAGAGAAAGCATGCATGCATTTTCCTAGGTCATCAAAGTTTGCCTATGCGCACATCACCACGGGGAAAGTCAGAAAATAGTCTGTCTGAGTCAGGAAAAGACAGCATAGCCTGCAGGAAGCAATTTGGGGCAACTTAGGATCAGAACAACAGTGAGCATTCTGTTGCAGCATTTCACATACCTCAACAAAAATCAAATAATGAGGAACAGGCTTTGCCGTTCCTTCACTCCTCAAAGTTAGCAGATTGCAAACTTCCCAGCCACACCTCCCAGGAAAGAAGTCGTACTCACCGAACAGGGACAGGACTCCGCAGAGCGTCCAGACAACCAGAGACATGCCCACGGTGCCGGTGTTGCGCAGCACACCCTTGGGGGAGATGAAGATTCCTGCGCCGATGATGGTGCCAATGATAATGGAGATTCCCCTCAGTAAGGTGATTTTCTTCTTGAGCACCACTTTCTCCTGCCCAGGGGGCTCCTTGCCACCCATGGAAGGCAGCCTCCCGTTCACGTTTCCCTGCAGGTAACTCCTTTTGGAGATGGTGGACACAACAGGTTTTCTGACCATAGTAGTGATACCAGGGCAAAAAGACAACACAGGAAAAGAAAACCAAAACTTTCAACTTCAGTGTCTCTTGGTGTGACTGATCTCCTCCTCTTTGCGTTCAGATTGTCTCTCTCAACGCTATTACGAACACAGGTAGAAACTCAGAGGTGTATTTTATCCTTCCCAGCTATCTAATTACTACTCAGAAACACCTGTGTGTTCATGGTGCCCTCAGTTCTCCACCTCCTCGCACTACCACTGTTGCTGCAGCGGCTGCTGCCCTATCATTACAAACCAGCTCAGCTTCCTCGTGGGCTTGTATTTAAGCTCTTGCCTGTCACACCAACTTACTCCGGCTACATGATGATGCAAATTCTCCAGGTTTGCATCAGCCACATGAGAAGGCTCCAGCATTACTCAGCTTTTTTTTTTTTTTTAACAGTAGCAGCATGTTGCTCAACTGACATAAGCCTTTCAGAGAACAAAGCACGCACTTAAAAGGCAGCTGCACCAATCCCAAAGTAGTAAATTCAGAACAGACCTTCAGAGAGATTGAAAGCAACTCCTAGTGAGGGGCAAAAGCTCTTCACGCCGAAACAAAATGAAAAATGAAACAGGAAATGATCTCTTCATTGTAAGGGAGTTTCTTTTTTTCCTAAACTCACAAGTAAAAATATTTAACAGGCAACTTTTTTGGTGACAGAATGCACTGCAGAGCTAGACTATTTGCAACAAGCATTTTTAGATTTCATTATTTGTATCATACTTATTTTCACTTTTTCCCGTTTGAGATTCCTAGCAACACAGTTAAATCTAATATTTACAAAGCTAAAACGATCTTCACTCTTACTTGCTGCAACACACCTAACAACTATGAGTCTGACTCACATTAAAGATAAAATTATTTCTTATGACTCATGGTCAATCAGTATTTAAAATCACACTCAAATGAGTGTGGCAAATTTAAAAATCACAGTGACTCTGGAAAATAGATATACTAGGTGATTTCCTGGACTAAGTGGAAGAAATTTATTTCCTATTTGCACCTTATTCCATCAAATTATCAAAAAATTCTAATTTCAAATTTAAGCAATGATTGCAATGACATAGAATCAGATACATAGCAAAAACCTGAAAATGAACTCATAGAATAGTTGTAGAAAGGCAATTATACATTAGATTTATTCTGAATTACATGAACTATTATTATAAATGCTTTTACATTTCCAATGCATTACAAATGGAACCTGAGATTAAAATGCTTACTTTGAAAAAATCAAAAGGCACAACATTTTTAAGCCCTTCCAACTTTCTTGCCCAAGCATCTGAAAACCAAGTACAAAAGGAAAAGAACTCTAGATATCATTTTTGGCGATGGTTGTATGTGGTTGCAGGTTCAGTGAGAAGGGGATGGGAGCTCCCACTGTGGCATAGCGGGTAAGGCTGCCACCTGCAGTGCCAGCATCCCATATGGGTGCCAGTTCCAGTTCCGGCCGCTCCACTTCTGATCCAGCTCTCTGCTATGGCCTGGGAAAGCAGTAGAAGATGGCCCAAGTCCTTGGGCCCCTGCATCATTGTGGGAAACCTGGAAGAAGCTTCGGCTGTTGCAGCCATTTGCAGAGTGAACCAGAAGATAGAAGACCTCTCTCTCTTGGCCGCGCCATGGCTCACTAGACTAATCCTCCGACTGCGGCATAGGCATCCCAGGTTCTAGTCCCAGTCGGGGCACCGGTTCTGTCCCGGTTGCTCCTCTTCCATTCCAGCTCTCTGCTGTGGCCCGGGAGTGCAGTGGAGGATGGCCCAAGTGCTTGGGCCCTGCACCCGCATGGGAGACCAGGAGAAGCACCTGGCCCCGGCCTTTGGATTAGCGCGGTGCGCCGGCCACAGCAGCCATTGCGGGGTGAACCAATGGAAAAAGGAAGACCTTTCTCTCTATCTCTCTCTCTCACTGTCTGCTCTGCCTATAAAAATAAATAAAATAAAATAAATAAAAAGAAGACCTCTCTCTCCCTCTCTGCCTTTCTCTCTGTGTTTAATTCAGACTTTCAAATAAATAAATAAATCTTTAAAAAAAATGCCATGTTAGAATCACCCTGAAGCTACATTTACACACACCATTAAATATGCTCCTGAACACTAAATTCTGCTCCTGAAGCAGTAAACAAAAACCTGTGAGAGGTGGGCCTGGGCCAGGGTAGGTGTGGGTGGAAAGGGGGCCCAGGATGATACAAGAAAGACACAGCCAACAGCTGTTAGGGAAGTAGCATAGAGAAGGCCAGAACCATTTTCTGTTATGTTGGCACCTGGAAAATTACACCACATCAATGCCTCACCACCCAAATAACTGAGGCTACAACATTTCCTTTTCAAATTATCTACCCAAATTCTTCCTAGTTGAGAGGGGTGCTTGGCACAGTGGTGGAGAGGCTGCTCAGAGTGCAGGGGTTCTAATGTTGGCTCTGCTTCTAATTCCAGCTTCCTGTTACTGTGTACCTTGGGAGGCAGCAAGTGATGGTCCAAGTACTTGGGTCTCTGACACCCAAGTAGGAGACTTAGATTGGTTTCTGGGCTATCGGATCCTGCCCGGTCCAGCCCTGACTTTTGAGAATATTTGGGAAGTAAACCAGCAGATAGAAGACCTTATTTTCTTTTTACTTGACAGGTAGAGTTAGAAAGTGAAAGAGAGAGACAGAGAGAAAGGTCTTCCCTCCGTTGGTTCACTCCCCAAATGGCTGCTACAGCCGTTGCTGCACCGATCCAAAGCCAAGAGCCAGGTGCTTCCTCCTGGTCTCCCATGCAGGTGCAGGGCCCCAAGCACCTGGACCATCCTCCACTGCCCTCCTGGGCAACAGCAGAGAGCTGGACTGGAAGAGGAGCAGCCGGGACTAGAACCCGGTGCCCATATGGGATGCTGGTGCCCCAGGCAGAGGATTAACCAAGTGGGCCACGGCGCTGGCCCTTTTTTAATTTTTTTTTAATTTATTTTTTATAGAAGACCTTAAACATCTCTCTCTCTCTCTCTCTCTCTCTCCATTTCAAATACGTAAGTAAAAATTAAAATAAAAGAGTGACTTTAAAAAAAATCTATATAAAATTGTTTCCAACATACCAAGTCAGAGTTTCTATGAAGCCCAAATAAATATTTTTTGTCAGATGTTATGTCTTTCAGAAAATAAAAATAGGAAGTTTTCCCCATTCAATCTTGTTGAAACTCCTAAAAAATGAAGTAAGACAAAGATTTTCCTCCTAATTCTCTTTTTAATGCACATGAGGGGGAGAGGAGAGGCGTTTGTTTCACAGAAAGGGAAGTCATTCTTTCTGAAGAAAAATGAGGCCTGTAGAACCCTAGAAAACTCATGAGCTTTCTCTCCCCAACATAGTACTAGGCTTCAATTTTAAATTTTCTTATAAATGACTAAACTACTAAGCTGAAATTAAAACTCCCTCAGACAAGAAGTTAGATAGAGGATACACAGTGGATGAGAATTATGTCTGCAAAACTGATGAGAAGAGGGGAATCGGTGGGGAGTAGTGTGGTTGTCTTCTTGGAACTGCACCTATGGAATGCAAAAAATCTGGGCTCTTGATATTAGTAAAAACTTTTAAAAACATAAAAAAATTGGAAAACTGAAAAAAAGAAAAACACAAGTAATGAAGTGAATAAAGACACATTTAAAAAGAAAGATAAATAAAAGAGGGTAAATGTTCTTTCCATGTCAAGTGACATTTTCACCCCTTGCTGAATTAAAGAATATATAGATTTTGGGGGAAATTGCTAATGTTATATTATGGTCAAAAGAACTGTACTAAAAAGAGTCGCACTCAATTTCTGCAAAGCCACATGTAGCGACCAAGAAAGCAGGACGTTTTGCTTAACCACCCAGAAAGTTTGCAGAAAATCCAGTTACAAAGAAAATGTTGTATTACCTTTAAAGTTACCAAGCCCTTATAATCACTAGTTCTTAACTTGTAAACTAAAATTTGGATGGCCTTCAAAACTATGTTGATCATAAAAATGAGTTCAAAGTAAATGAATTTGTACTTTTCCTCCTACTTTAGTTCTTATTTTAAGAATTCCTTTCAAATCGAGGCCATTTTAATGTCATTCACAAATATTTATTTAGTGCATACTATATACCAGGAATAGTCCCAGCTCCCTAAAAACACCTAATAGAAGATAGGGATGTGATACACTGTGATGGCTACCATTTTCTGGTAACAATTTTTGTCCTATGATTAAAAATACGGGTATAAGCTTGGCCAGGCCAAAAATAATCATTCTGGCTGCAGGCTATCAGAATGTGACCCAAGGTGCAATATTTCTAAACAGGATTAACATACTCTTTTCTCATCTGTTGGAAACTATAAAGATGTTACCTCAGGTTCTGGTGTTGCAGCACAGTGAGTGAAGGCAACACCTGGGACACTGGCATCCCATATGGGTTCCAGCTCATGTCTGGCTCCACTCCCAATACAGCTACCTGCTAATGCACCTGGGAAACCAGTGCATGATGGCCCAAATGCTTGCTGCCCTGCACCCATGTGGGAGGTCCAGATGAATTTTCTGGCTCTTGGCTTCAGCCCAGCCCTGGCAGTTGCTGCCATTTTGGGGAGTGAACCAGAGGATGAAAGATCTCTTTCTTCCTCTCCCTCTCTCTTTGTATGTATGTGTGTGTGTGTGTATCTCCCTCTCCGTTTGCAAATCTGCCTTTAAAATACATGAAATAAATCTCAAAAAAAATAAATAGGATACCACCAGAACTACTGGTAGCCATGTCCCCTGCCACGTTGCAAAAATCTTCATGGAATAAAAATTATGCAGAAATAGTAACTATTTAGATAATTATAGTATCATCAGGTCCTATGTTAGTTCTTAAGAGACTCAAAATGGCTCTGAATCTTTTTAAGATTTATTTATTTATTTGAAAGTCAGACTTACAGAGAGGCAGAGGCAGAGGCAGAGAGAGAGAGAGGTCATCCATCCGCTGGTTCGCTCCCCAATTGGCTGCAACAGCTGGAGCTGCGCCAATCCAAAGCCAGGAGCCAGGAGCTTCTTCCAGGTCTCCCACACTGGGGCAGGGGCCCAAGGACTTGGGCTGTCTTCCACTGCTTTCCTGGCTATAGCAGAGAGCCAGATCAAAGTGAAGTAGCTAGGACTCGAACTAGGGCCCATATGGGATGCTGGCAACTGCAGGCAGCTGCTTTGCTCGCTATGTTACAGCACCAGCCCCAAGATTTTTTTTTTTTTTAATTGCATAAGCTACCTGGTTTCCTTCTAGGTAAGCCATCCCATGCTACACAAAACTCATTTGTATGTGAGTGGTAGAGCTAAATGGGAACGGTATATCATTGAAGCTTCTATTTAACCAATATGAAAGCCATTGACCACATGTAGTTATCAGTACTTGAAATG